TTAAGTCTATGGGATAAGAGTGGATTTGATTCAAGATTTCGGGCTACAAAACAAGTAGTGAAGAAGAAACTTGAGAAATCTTATGAATGTTACAAGAAACTGTGTAGTCTTAGAACCCTTATATAAATAAAGAAGATCAAAGAAAAGAATATAAAACAAAAACAGAGAGTTTTAAAAAAGAAAAACAAGAAATGTCAAAGAAAAAGTTGTAGATGACATAGAAAGGTTAAAAGATTTTGAGATAGAACTATCTTTAAGTGGTGCAAGTACCACTTTTACTGACAGTGATTTTAAGTGTCACCAAAAAAAACAGAAATTTAGTAAATGTAGAGTTTACATTTGCATTTCCATTTGTATTTCCCATGCAATAAGTTATATTCAATTATATGCAATATATAAATTTTTTTTTTTAATCTGACCAGAAATGAAAGAAAGGGCAAATAATATTGATCAGTTGCTTTCTTTCAATTATGGGAGCGAGGAGTATATGGGAAGTACCAATTTTCATAGAAGGGTATTAGATATAAAGAAATTCTGCATAACAGCCCTAAAACAAGATTGCTTTCAAAGGGGAGATTATAATTTTTTTTGTGAGCTAATAGTCATTTACTTTGGTGGCCATGCACCTGGCTTGTAAGTTCACACAACCAGGTGCTCACCATCAAGCAAGGTTTATAGCTAATTGACTATACTTGCTTACAATGCAGCTGACTTCAAAGTCATCCATACTTTTTACGCCTCCTCTTGCAGCCTAAGATCCATCACATGATATGGATGTTTTTAAGCAAGCTTATGAAATGATGAGTAATAAGTTATATGTATCCAAGTATGGTCCCCTAGGTTATGTGACCAAATATGGTTCGCCATAGTTGGTAACTGACCTGACAGCTAGTTATTTTTCAATAGTAAATTGACATTAAGAACTGAAGGAAAAAGTTGGACTAGCTCATAAGCTGCTAGGTTTCGATTGTCCACAATCTCAACCTCTAACTCATGCAATTTCCATGTCAGTTTTGTCTGAATTTATTACCAAGGAATTTATTTCCTGGCTGCTCTTCACATACCTAGCTATAACTTTGGGAGTAACCAACACATGGATAAAGGATAACTTTGAAAATAATTCCTACAGACATTTTCAACATCAAGTGGAGAATCTAGCAGTAGTAAATGACAGGGCTGAATGCCACATCAAACTTGTGCCAGATTTTATGGCTGAAAGTCATAACGAAGGTCTACTACAGGATACCATCCAAGTTGTGCAAAAAAACAAAAACAGAAGGAGGTTAAAAAAGACATAAAAAAAAGTGATTTTAAGTAATTTTTGAATTTATTTGTCTTTAAATGTTGTGAATGACCTATCTGTATAATTCTTAAATAAAAATATTAATTCTTAAATAAAAGATTTTTTTTTAAAATTGACATATTTCTACTATTCAATCCTTAAATCAGGAGCACCAAGAGGACAGGGGGGCATGGTGGTGGTTGGGGATGGTAGCAAAAAATACCATGCAACCTCACATATAAAATAACCTTGTACTGGGACTCCTTGACTTGGAAATTTTTTTGTGGGTCAATTTTTTTTTAGTCAAAAACAATTTGAATGCACCTCATGGTTATATATATATATATATATATATATATATATATATATATATATATATATATATATATATATATATATATATATATATATATATATGTATATATATATATATATAACCATGATATATATATATATATATATATATATATATATATATATATATATATATATATATATATATATATATATATATATATATATATATGTATATATATATATATAACCATGATATATATATATATATATATATATATATATATATAATATATATATATATATATATATATATATATATATATATAATAACATAATATAATATAAGAGTTGCAATCAACAGACCTTTACTGTCTGGTAATGTCTGATGATCAAATAATTTTTTAGTATTCCCTTATTTCATGTAGTGTGTTAGCCTTTATAAAGAAAATAATTTGTTTACTTTAGTGTGCAAATTTTTTTTAATACAAAGGAGGGGGGGGGGGGTAGGAATAAAAGGAAAAGGGTGGGAATGAAAAAGAGGTTGGGAATTTAAGCCAAGATCTTATAAATGGGGGGATGTTTTAATTAAATGTTGAGTAGGAATTTTCTCAAAATATATAAATATAATTTATATATAAATATAATTTATATATAAATATAATTTGTATATAAATATAATTTCTATATAAATATAGTTTCTATATAAATATAATTTATATATAAATATAATTTATATATATATATATATATATATATATATATATATATATATATATATATATATATATATATATATATATATTATATTTTTTTTTTTACTTAAAATAATGATGTAAATAAAAAACAAGATTAATTACGCAATAACTTTTATTCAAGAGTTAAATTTGAATTGAGAAGGTTGAAATAAAATCGTTATAGTACAGCTTATGAAGTGAGAAGAAACCACTAATTAGTGAAAGAAAACTGCATATAATATTGTAAAAGAATAAATTAGACAATTGTATTTGTCTTTATTAGATGTCTATTTTAGATGATATTATGTATGTCTTTTTTAGATGAGGGCACTAGGCTGTCATAGTATATTCTATATTTTGACATATGTAAGTTGTATAGAGATTTTTCCAGACTACTATATCTTTGCTAACAAAGTTGGTTTATATCTAAGTTTATTTTGGAAATTATAACTCAGTTTATAACCTTATAACACTCATTAAGATCTAGTAGAGCATTAGCTATCTATACCGTTTCTTCTGCTTCATCTTTTAAAAAACCAAATAGAATGTTAAATGAGTTTATATACCTAAGATTACACATTCTACTTGAGTAATTCTCAGAGCTTTTATCACTTCTTTTCTGACTCTTTAATTTGGTGAATTTTTGAACAACTAAGCATCAATGTATAATTCAGTAACCTTGTTTTGTTTCACTCTTTTTCCAATCCAAAGGAGTGGAAAAAGACCAAAACTGACACCAAAACTAAACCAAAGACCTAGAATGAAATCTTTGATAGGATCAGGATACAAATTGATGTTAAACAAGAATATCACTAGCAGAAAGCGGAATGGCTGCAACTACCACCTAGTACCTGAAATCTCATGAATCCCTAAAGAAACCAACCCAATAGTTTCTTTCTGTTGTGGACATTACAGAAAAAAAGAAACATCTACTCATGAAAAAACTTTGCTTCTATAAGTTGAAATTACTTAAAAAAAAGTTTTTTCTCTGCAGTGAAGAGAAAAAGAAAATACGAAAGAAAGAGTGGAAAAAAATAGAAAATCTAAAATAACAAACTTGTAGTAAATTGGATTGTAATACCATATCAATGGTTTAGCATTCATACTTGCACACCTGCATTTTTAAATACTAGATTTCCAATATATACAATTTTGAGCATCTTTCTTTAACTAAAACTTTTTCAGATCAATTGTAACTAACTCCTACTTCTACTAATTATTTTCTGACTGATAACTCTCTACATGCTGATTTCATCAATTCACATGACATGAAACAAGGGAATACTAAAACAAAAATTTATCTAAAAAATAAGACTTATGTAAACTCAAAAAACTTTATTATTTTTCTGTTATTTTTCAATAGTTTTTAGGCATATCAAAGAAAATGAAGATAAAAATACAAAGCAAGATAAGATTGATGATATTATGTACTTACAACATAAAAGTGCTGAGTTAAATATTTTTTAATATTAGATAAATTATTTATTTATGTATATTCTTTACAATATTCACTGTTTTATTATGACCTACCTACTTTTTTCATTCATATACACAATTATTACGAATATTTAACTTACACTGACGCATTTAACTTACACAGACACATTTAACTACATTTAACATACACAAACACATTTAACTTACACTGACATATTTAACTTACACTGACACATTTAACTTACACTGATGCATTTAACTTACACTGACACATTTAACTTACACTAACACATTTAACTTACACTGACACATTTAACTTACACTGACACATTTAACTTACAGTGACGCATTTAACTTACACTGATGCATTTAACTTACACTGACGCATTTAACTTACACTGACACATTTAACTTACACTGACGCATTTAACTTACACTGACACATTTAACTTAAAGTGACGCATTTAACTTACACTGACGCATTTAACTTAGTGTAATTTAATTAACAGTAATCCATTTAAAATAATAAATCATTTTTTACAGTAAAAATTTGAAAACAATGTTTTTTCTAACTGTTACATTATCTTGTATAACATTATTTATTGTATTAACACTGTAAACCTGTTAGATAATAAATTGAACCAAACTTTATTTGTATTTTGTAATCATACCTTTTTTAAAACGTATAAAACAATAATTAAAATACATAAAATGAATAGGTAAAAAAAGTTTAAGAAAAAATATTTTTTTGTGCCTTGTTTTTTTTAAATTATTATAAAGTAATAAATGAACCCCTACCTGTAACATAATACTGAAACTTTTTATAATTACGATATAACAGTTAAAAAGTTTTGAAAATCTTGTTACTTAAACTTGAAAATTAAATTTAAATTATTGCATTTATTTTATATATGCTATATTGCTATAAATTATTATTAGGCATTACTTTTAAAAGCTAACAATGTCAAGTATTGTAACTGCTTTTCTCCGCTTGATAAAACTAGGAATTTTCTACATGAATACAGGGTGTATTTAACTTTCGCTAATTAATACAATTTAAAAACAAGTTTGCAATATTTTACTTAATAAAACATCTTTCATACTAAAACTAAAGTTATGAAGAAATAGTAAACTAATCCAACAAGTAATAATATTTCTTAATAAAGCAAACAAACTTAGGTGCTATTTTAAAATGACTTTTTTACACAATTTACACAAAAAATCTTGATTCATAAATATAAGTAACCCACCCTGCACTAACAATAGATCTCCACCACCAGCGATAATCCTCAGCAGCAAGTTGAAAGTAAGTTAACGCAATGGATATACTTGCAGTTACACTTATTAACATAATAAATACTACAAGCAAAATTCCATACAATGTATACTGATCTCTTCCCCAAAGAGTAGTAAATATATAGTAAAGTTCCACAGATATTGCACTACATTAAATAATAACGATGTCACTTAAACAATATAAATATATATATATATATATATATATATATATATATATATATATATATATATATATATATATATATATATATATATATATATATATATATATATATATATATATATATAAATTGGTAGAAAATCACTTGACAAAAATTTTCATTTAACACTATTTTTATATTATAGTAATTATTATATTATATTAATATTTTTAACACACCATTTAACACTAAAATATATATGAGCCATTCAGAAGTTAATGTTATTAAAAAATATATATTTTAGTTTTTAAAGGCTTTTGTCGTTAGTTTTGTTTTTCTACAAAAATTATTTTTAATGTCTTCTGATCATTTTTATCATAACATGTTACAACTAAAAATCCAAATTTTGTAGCTTCAATTTAAATGTCTAAAAATGTTTTATAATTTTATAGTTCTACCTATTTTGTTGCAAATTGATTCCTCTACAATATATCAGTTTTTTTTTTTCAAAACCTAAATAAACATGTCTAAAAGATTGAAAAATCAAGTGGCACTCTGTAAATAAGTGTACGCTTTTCTGGATTTGGATCCAGAAGAAAACAAAACTTTTGTTTTTAACCATTTTCTCATGAAAAATGTTCTAAAACCAACCATGTACAATATAATGCCACAAAAGGAGATCAATATAGAAACAAAAAGAAAAGTTGGAAGTGGTTGGACTGCAAAATAATGCTTAAGAAACAGATTAAACGCTTTCAGGCAATGTAGGATATTATGCTTCTGATCCCGACGCAACTCCTAATGAGATTAAGCTCAAAAGAAAAAGCAAATATGAGCCAAACTTATTAGTTTAGATAGCCTTGTCAGAGAAAGGGTCTTAAAGCATTACATAGCTCCTTCGAGTCAAGCAGTCAACAAGGATGTATACATTTCTAAATGCCTGGTTAAATTAAAGAAGTTCATCAATAAAATTCATAAAAACAATAAAATTGTGTTCTGGCCCGATCTAGCTTCCGCACACCATTCAAACAAAGTACAAGATTACCTATGTGCCGAGAGATATAAACCCTGCTAATGTGCCTAAATTGTGCCTAATTGAGGATTTTTTGAGTGAAATTAAAAGATTTGTGTATGCAGACATTTGGCAAGCTAAAAATCTCCACCAACTAAAAAAATTAATAGAGTATTGTATAAAAAAAATCAATCAAAATTGCGCACTTAGACTTGGGGCGAGTACCTTTACAAGAGTTGACCATGTTTGGCGAAATAGACTGATAAACAAATAACTTTTTATTTTATTTTGTAAAATACAAATTTTTTGTTAATTTGCTTTTTAAATATAAAAAATTGATAACTCAGTTCAAGAGATATTTCTTTTCAAAGTTTGTCCAGATTGTCAGTTGTAACATGTTAATTTATCATAGGTGTTCTTCATTTTTATAATATGAACTTTATCAGATCAGCTTCTGAATGGCTCTATATAATATATATATATATATATATATATATATATATATATATATATATATATATATATATATATATATATATATCCTTATAGTGTAGTCGAAAGAGACTTTTAATGTAAAAAAAAGTCTATTTTGACTACAATTTTGCTACCTTGACAATTAAGCTACATTTATTCACTACTCATCTACTTTTATTGTTGTCGAAATGTCAAAGCAATTAAATTAATGTGGAAGTACATTAAATTTTATTGTTTTTTAAAAAAACCGCAATAATAATGACTAGCAAGTTTTTTTTTAAATAATGGTGTTTTTGTTGTTGTTTTTTTAAAATATGTGTGGAGTGTTGCTACATCGACTATCTTATAGCCTGCTGCTACAAGGGAGTGTTGCTACATCGACTATCTTATAGCCTGCTGCTACAAGGGAGTGTTGCTACATTGACTATCTTATAGCCTGACTCACAACGGAGTGTTGCTACATCGACTATCTTATAGCCTGACTCGGAACAGAGTGCTGCTACATCGACTGACAAATAGCCTGACTCGCAAGGGAGTGCTGCTACATTGACTGACAAATAGCCTGACTCGCAAGGGAGTGCTGCTACATCGACTGACAAATAGCCTGACTCGCAAGGGAATGCTGTTACATCAACTGAGGGTTTGATTTGGGCAGGCAATCTAAAATTTAAGAAAAAAAAAATTATTTAAGTTTTTAAACTCTTACTGGTCTGGTTTATTAACGCGCTCTTTTAAACTACAGTTTATGGGAAAATCTTTATATATATATATATATATATATATATATATATATATATATATATATATATATATATATATAATATATATATATATATACACTTAATGCAGCGAAGAGCATGTTAAAAAAATATCATTTGGTATTTGTATTTAGCACATATTGATGCTATTATATGCTGAGTTCCATAGTTTTTACTTGAAGTTTTACAAGCATTTTTATGTTTTTTCTGTTACGACGTTGTAACTGTGACAGTTGTAACAAAAAATCCAATGCTCAAAAGCAACAAATAAAACGATGCAACCAATGATGTAAAAAAAGTATAAATGATTATTAACAACTATGCATATTATGTTAAAAAAATGAACATAATATGCATAGTTGTTCATTGTATTAAAGTTCTCAACTATGGATATACGATATGATTTTTAACACTGCAACACAGAACTGTAAAAAAGTGTCAAAACATGTTTATACAACCCATGCACTATTTAAGCCATGCTATATAATAATAAAATGATTTCTTTAAATAACTTTTTTGCCTAAAAGTATTTTTAAATAGTTAAAAAAACATATTTATGGAGTTTAGTATGTGTTTTCATAACTTTTTTTCATTTTTTCCTTTTTCTAGTGGAATTGCATATACATATCCCTTCGTTGGGCACGCTTGATCAAATTGATACATGTCAATCATTTTAATCTTGACGAGTTATTGAGTAATAACTTAATGTTCTGCTTTTTAGTAGCTTCATTTATTTTCTTCTTTTATTGTTCTACATCATCAAACATATTTAAATCACTTTATATGAATTGATTTTTATCATTTTGTTCAAATTGATACATTGTGCCCTTTTATGTTACATTTTATAAGTTCAATTATAACTAAAAAAGTATATCTGGTAAATGTATTTTTAAATTTATAGACATAATTTGATATTATTTATTCTTCAATTCAATAGGGATGTACTTTTTTAATTAAAATATCAAATTGATACATTGCGCCTTAGAGCATTATTAGTTACTAAAGTCTTTTTTACAAAAGGTTTGGTTATAAATCTAACCTTTTGTGCTTATAATTAAAATAACTTTATTTATATTTTTAAATAATATTTTAATTTGTTCATCTTTTTTTAATATATTAATAATTCCTCCTAATTGCGTCTAAAAAAGATGATAAAGTGAGATTATTTAATCTTGAAAGTTTAAAAGATATAGAGGAATTTCAAAAAAATCTATTAGATGAAGAAGAAGAGGTGGAGGATTTTGAAGATAAAGATATTACAGATGCAAAAGACACCACAGAGTTTCATCCAGTTAATTCAAATACAGAAGAACTTGAAAATATTGATTTTAATGAAACAGAGAAAGAGATGCAAAAAACATGATTTGGTCAAATTGAAAGCATTTATAGGTCTCTTATTTCTAGCTGGTTTGTATTGGAGTAATAGGCAAAGTCTGGCAGATCTATGGGGATCAGACGGGGATGGAGTAGAAAAATTTCATTTAGTAATGAGTATCAAAAGTTTCAAATTTATTGTGTGCTATCTTCGATTTGACTTCCAAGTAACTCATAATGAAAGACAAAAAACTGATAGGCTCGCACTAATCAAGGAAATCTTCGAAAGGTTTGTAGGAAAGAAAACATTTGCATTGATGAAAAGTAAGAATTATTTCAAGGTAACTGTAATTTTAGACGATACATCCCTAACAAATCTGCAAAATATAGAATTGAAAATTATGCACTCTATCTATACAACTTAGAAATTTACGCTGGATTGCAGCCAGAAGGAATTTATCGGAAAAGCAACAAACCTGCAGATGTTGTGCTAAGGCTAAGCAAACTCATTAACAGATCTGGTCGAAATGTCACTGCAGATAATTGGTTTACAAGTGTTGATCTGATTAAACGATTAAAAAGTAAAACCTATGTGGGAACAATTCAAAAAGATAAACATCAAATTCCGAAAGAGCTTATTGCAAAGAGCAATTAAAAGCAGCATTTTCTGTTTAAGTAAAGATATGATGTTAGTATCTTATGTTTTTAAAAAAAGGAAAATGTGTTGTTTTAGTCTACATGAAGATGATATATTAGATTTTGATACTGAAGACAACCTTAAGCCTTCAGTTATAACATTTTATAACAAAACCAAAGGCGGATTGACACAACTGATCAGTTATGTGCGTTATACAATGTTTCAAGAAATGTACACCACAGGCCAATGGTAATATTTTTTGCAATGTTAAACATAAATGGCATCAACGCTCAAATATCATATTTTGGGAACGCTCAACCTGTTGTTTTTCTTAAAGAAATTTTCTCATGAATTAGTGATGCCTCAATTTATATTAAGAAGTACAGAAAAAAGAGGGTTACCAAAAGAACTCAGTGATAGTTGACATAGTTTTAGAACAATTATATAATTAGCTTTTTAAAATAGTCACTCAAAATTTGTATCAATTTGATTAATGTGCCTCTTTTGTTAAAAATAGCAATTGTGATGGAATTTTTATTTATTGTAAATATTTCATACTTGTGCAAAGATTATTTAAGCAGTTTATTAAAGAAAAATTAAAAAAAATATATATTAAACTGGTGAATTGTTATGCAAATCAATTTGATACAATGTGCCTTCCCGAGTTACAAAATGATTGTGCCTGACGGAGTGATATATATATATATATATATATATATATATATATATATATATATATATATATATATATATATATATATATATATATATATATATATATATATATATATATACATTTAGTATTAAAATGATAAAAATACAACTTTTTGTTGGTACTTAGAGTTTCATGCCTGGTGGCAACCATAAGCCCTATATTTTTAAATCAAGAAATTAAAAAACTGTTAAAAATACCAATTATGCAATGCAATCGGATCTGACATTAAAAAATCGATTGCACAAAGTCTACCTTTACCCTGTGTCAAATTGACAAAGAAGGAATTTATTTCTATGCCAACATTTCAATATAATTTTCTTATTTAATAAACTGTTGTCATTGTTTGAAATAATTTTGTATTTTTCATGAAGGCATAATTTGCATAATTGTATTGTTAGGTTATATGCTTCAAATTTTCTAATTATTTTCCATCTAACCACAGTATTTTTATTATTATATTTTAAGTTCCAAACCTCTTTTGACAGCTCTGTATTATTTTTATATTTAGGAATGTTAAATGATTCTAAATGGTTGGCATATCTCAGTTTAAAAGGTGTTTCACTATAACCAATGTATAATTTTTTTATTGAAGGATTATCTTAAGTGATGGTTGCTTGGTATACAACGTTGTTGGTCAAGCAGTTATTGAGTAAAGGACAATTGTTTTTATTAAAGCAATTGCAATTATTTTTATTATTGGTTGGATTTTTGTTTAGGATGTGCTTGTTGTGTAAAGTTATTACTGACTTCATGTTCGGCATGCAACTGTAGCTGATTTTACAGTGTTCTTGTCGAAAATTTTATGTAATTTGCTGTTAACGGAAAATGTTTGGCAATCAAGTTTAAAAAGCATTTTCCTATATGTGTGGTGACATTTATGCTAAAAGAAGGATTGTACCAGATTATTTTGCGTGTACTGTTTTTCTTTTGTTGTTGTTTTAAGTTAGGTTGGTAAGATTATGTTTATAACCAGAGCTTCATAGTGCTTCATTATAAATAGATACAGATTTCTTAAACATTTCTTCACCACTAAAATTTCCCGACAATCTCAGTTCAACATTTTGAGGTAGTTGATTTAGTATACAAGAAGGGTGGTTAGACTGAACATATATGTAGTTTAAAGTATTGCCAGGTTTGCAGTATGGTTGGTATGACTGGTCGGTGAGGTTAAGATTATGTCAAAGTAGTTCACAATTTGAGGTTGCACTGTATAGAAATGCTAAGATAGACATTTGAATAAGTACGCGATATGTTTTTTAATTTTTTCTATTTGCTGACCAGTAGCATTTTTAAAAACTACTAATCCATCATTGCGGTATAAGCTAAAGTTATATTTATTATAAAAATTTGAAATTTGAAAAAGAATGAATATACCAAGAAACTCACATATCTCTGCGCCATCAAATGCACCCATTGTAACATCAAATAAACTGCTTGATTTTTTTATCCAAACCTGGTTATAATTAAACAGTAAAGATTTCCTTGCATGAATAATAGTTGACTTATAATCTGAGCTTATTGTGACATGTTTTTTCGCAAAACTGATAGGAGTTTTTCACTAATTGAAGGGTAGAAATCGTTGATATCAAATATTAGGAATTTATAAAGGTATTGATATTTTATATTTTTAAACCAATTGATAACATTTTGAGTGTTTTTCCACTGATTAAAATGCAAAACATTTTTTAATTCAGAATTTAATTTTGAGAGAATGTCTTTACTAATTCTACCAATTTCATTTTTTGCCAGATTTATTAATCTAACTGTTGGATTGTTTGAAAATTAGCCTTTTGGTCTTTAAGCGTTATGAAGCAAATAGAAGATGCATTAATGTCAATTTTGTTAATAACAGCATGGTCCTCTAATATTTTTTTAACTTCTTTGTTTATTTTACCTTTTATTTTTAAATTAGCTAGTTTGTAGGTATAGGTAATAGCATTTGTCAACAAGTGGTTATAAGTGTCTCTTGATAAATTAAACAGTGATTAATATTATAATGACAAATTTTTTATATAATAGATCTGATATACATATATATAAATTATATTCTTTTAAGGTATTAAAAAATAGAATATTCATATATAAAATATAAAAACTTAAGTAAAAAAAAACCTGAATGGTAAAAAACCTCCAACAACCATATAAACAGGAACCGATCGATACCTAATATTATAGTATAGTTTTTAAAAAAAAAAAAATTATTACTCAATAATAATATATATATATACATACAATATATAACAACAATATTAATAATAATATTAATAATAATTACAATTTGGAAGCCATAAAACTTTTTTAACATAAAACGCAAAAATGATTTGTGGACAAACAGTAACAGTGTTTTTATACATGTGGAGATTTATATATATATATATATATATATATATATATATATATATATATATATATATATATATATATATATATATATATATATATTATATATATATATTTATATTTATATAGTTCTTCTGAGATGATGGGCAGTTAAAACCTCCTCTCACTCTGAGCTTTGAAAGTAGATCACCCTTATGGTATTGTCAAAAATATTTAAAATATATATATATATATATATATATATATATATATATATATATATATATATATATATATATTGTTTTAATAGTATAAGCTTTTTTTTTTTTTTTGCATAACAGCACAGCAATGTTTTTTTCTTAAAATATCAAAAAAGCGGGTCCATTAATTTTTATAAAAAGTGTTATACATATTTTCTATATATACAGCATTACATATTAAATTATTACCATGGAACTGATGGCACTTCTCTTGGAATATTTTTTGTTCTACATGGTGCATCAAATCCTCCAGTCCAATTTTTTCCAAATATACCACCAACAATTGTTAATGGAAACCCAACTAAGTAATATTTGAAAATAGTAGGTTATAAAAATTTAAATTATAACCAATATCAATAACAAATATATTTACCTAGAAGCCATATTAAAACAAGCAACAATACAGTTGTAAAGGGAAGAGCTTGTGTAGATTGATAGTACCAAGCTATAGAGTTTACAATTGACCAAATAGCAAAGAATGGCACTAAATTTAAATTATTTTACTTCTTCAATCTTACAAATTTTTAAAATAACTGCCATTTTTTGCAAAAGCCTCATACACAGTGAAGATTAAAAATAAACCAAACAATAAATACATACCTCCAAACAACGAGGCAGTAAGTATAAGATTCCAAGCCCAATTATTTCCATTAATTTGCTTGTACATGCTGTTAGACACATAGCCTGAAATAACTGAAACAAAATATAGTTAATAATTTAAGTACATTCTATCTTTCTAGCAAGCAGAACCACTTGAATTTTCTATAATTAGAAACAATTTTTTTTGCAAGCAATTTCTAAACTTAATATCTAATACAGACATGGTTGTAAGAACACTTTTATAAAAAAAATCAACTATGCAGAAAACCACTATTTAAATTGTTATACAATAATTATCATATTATTCAGGAAAAAACATCTCTAAAAGATTTTTAGTATTTACTTTAATAAGTGCCAGAGTAATGAGAAAAAACTAATAAATTGAAACATTTATTTATTAGCTTTACAAGATAACATTAATAGCAGTCATAACTGAAATCAAACATCACCATGACAAAGAGATCAAAGATCTTCAAGATCAAATTATTGGCTAAATCAACAAAGTAACAACAACAGCAGGCAGTCGTTCTTATCTTGATATGGCAAAGCAAAACATTTAGCAACTGAAACAAAAACCAGAGGAGAAGGAGAACGTAGTAGTTGTAGATGTTAAAGAGTCTGAAATTAGAAGCAATGAAGACTTTGGAAAAGAGTTCTTTGAAGCATTCAAATTAAGAGTCAATAAAGACATTTCTCAACACATAAACTCCACTACTACCACCATGCCATCCAACCTTCTCTTTTACTACTACCACCATGTCAGTCAAGACTGTTGGTGACTGCCATTACAATACTAGTCACAGTTGCTGTCATAAACCCCTACTTGTAAGTAACCGGTTAATTGTAAATAACCCCTAAATTACATACAAGCCACTTTGAGCCTTATAAGTCATACCAGTCATGCCTAAATCATCCAGAATTTTTTGCCATCAAACAAAATCAATAAAAATCGAAAAAAACAACTCAATTTCTGTGCAAATAATCTGTATTCACTAAATGAAGCCAAATAAGACAAGCCAACAAGGAAAACTCCACAATAAAAAGTTTAACATTGGAGTTCTGAAACAAGTCATCAACTCAATTGTTTGTGAAGCAGAGCTTGACAACACTCAGCTGCTTATCTACTCTAATTCATCAAAATTTCCTTTTTATCCACACAACCAAAGAAGTACTAAAAGCTAATGGAGACCCTGCAATAAATGTACATATATACTAAATATCAATCTCTTTCACATTAGTAAGATAATAGAAAACTTTATACACAAAAGAACCAATTGTTTTGAAGAAAGACTAAAAAAAATTTCAACATTTATTTTGTCCTAGATTTCCAAGTACAACTTACCTACTGAAGGAATGTAACATTTTAATGAGGACACTGCTTCATAAAAAGTTTAATCTTAGTACCACTTTTGTTCCTTATTTTTATAAATGACCTTCCAGACAACATGGTACATCATATAAAGATCTACACAGATGACTGTAGGATCTTAGGGGCCATCAAAAAAGAAAATGATACAATGAAACTACTACAAGTCAGATCATGTGGTTAAATAATATGAAAAGTGGCTCATATCATACATGCCAGACACTCAAATAATTTATCACGCTTTTACTCAATGCTTGACATAGTAGGGTGCATTGTTAAATAACAACTTTCAAAAATTGCTTTGTGATTTTCATTGAATTTTTTAAATAACAACTTTCAAAAATTGCTTTGTAATGATCAATAATTGCTCTAAATGTATTCTATATAATAAAACAACACTGAATTTAATTTTTTTTTTAATAAAGAATACTTTTAAAGGTTCCCCAAGACCCTTAAACATTTATAGGGTCCCCAATCATTAAAAAAATAAGTACTTCAAAAGTAGGCCAACCTGGTACTCAAAAGAAAAGACATACTTCTATAGAACTTTTAATATTAGATTGTCAATGCAAATTTAACTAACATTTTCAGCAAGGACACACTGCGTGTCTAAAATTATTTAATCATTGTGGGGCCTGTTCTACATTACTTCATTAAACTTCATAACGAAAAATCCTAGTAAAAAATAACAAGTCTAAAGTAGAAAAATTGTCCAAATTTTGATACAAAACATTTCAGTTTTTATTTCAATATATTAATATCCTTTTTTTAAAAAAAAACAACAAAGCAATTGCTCAACCATTACAACCTTAATGTTTATATCACATAAAAACACCACTATTATTTTTAGATTACATAAAAATAACACCATTATCATGTTTAGATCACAAAAATAACACCACTATCATGTTTAGACCACATAAAAATAACACCACAATCATATTTAGGTCATATACAAATAACAACACTACCATGCTTAGATCACAAAAAAATTACATCACTGTCATGTTTAGAACACACAAAAAGCAACAACGTCAAAAATAATTAAGTAAAACAATTTTTAAAAATTGAAATGAAGTTTTCATTTTTGTGTTTAAATTTTAGTATTGAAGATGTATCATATATATACCATATCATATATATATATCATATATATATATCATAAGCTATATATCATCTATATATCATATATATATGAAAAGCTATATATGTATCATATATATATCATAAGCTATATCATACGTATCAATCTATGTTTAGAAAAACTAAGACTGCTTTGTGGCAGTCTTAGTTTTTTTAAGCAATTAAACAATATTAGATGAAAAATATCACAATAATTTTAACTTATCTAAAAAATATTTCACAATAATGAAATTATGAAATTAACATCAAAGTTTGGGTAGAAGTTTGTTTATTGAAAGAATCTAATTGGCTCATTTTTCTGTACTTTAATTTAATAGCTACAGAATATAATATCAGCACAGAGAGTTTTGTAAAATTTTGTATAAATTTTCAAGTTATTTTTACTATTTGTTATTCTTAAATATTAGATAAATACCACATCAAATTTCTAAATTTATTCAGATACCATTTTGAAATTTTATGATTATTTGGAAAAGGTTGCTATTGCACTGAGTGCCCAAAATGTGGATTTTTAACTACATTGATTGTTTTTGAAATGTTGTGAAAATTTTAGTACTTTACTTATTTGGGTCGAAGAATCTAATAATGAGGTTAAAATTTATGTGTGCACTCTGACCCAGAAAATACGGTTAGGTTAAAATAATGTTGGTAATATAATAATAAAATTGGTTGTCTTAAAATAAAGTTGGAGGAGAGGGGAGGGGGCACCAAGAGTAATGTACCCACTTTTTCTAAATTTTTCAAATTAACTTGAAAATATAAACTTAAAAATTGATATTATTAAAAAATTTGTTAGCCGCTGCCTCTCGCTCTGTATAAGAAATAGAAAAAAAAAGCACCACAATCTCTCTGACTAACAAGCTACTAGCTAGCTAAATTGTTTCAGGGTTAACTTACATGATTCTGGCATGTGGTATGACTAATATATGGGTAATTGCTGACTAATATAATTTTCAGAAAAGGATATCACATCATATTCCAAATCAAATATATTTGAGTTCAAAATAGTTTAATATTAAACACATGTGGTCATATAAAATCAATAGGACTGTGTATATTTATACACAGTCTTATTGATTTTATATGACCACAGAAAACATTCTTGGATTATCATTTTTTCCTCACCAAGAACATTGTTCACATCTACTTTACACACTCTTGTGGTATGTTCAAGCTTTCCACATGTTTTACATTGCAAAAGTCTCTTTTTACTGGCTTTTTCATTTAAGCCTAAAGAAATGTCATGTGTATTTATTTGCAATGATACTAGGTCATTGGCATCACTTCTACAACAATTTCAGTAGTGCTAAAAAGTTCTAAAATCACCTCCCAACAAATCTATTGATTTGCCATCAACTATATTTATCTTTGTTTTTACAAATATTTATAAACCATTTTCTAAAAAAATAGGCCGAGTTTCATTTTTACATAGTTGACTCAGAGTTGGTTTAAAATATTCCTTTACAATCTCTCTATTTTCTTTTGCTTTCCTTACAGTATTAGGCCTGCCAAAATTAATCACCATTTATATATTTGAGTTTTATTTTAAATTTCAGTAAACAAAATGTTAAGATCTAAAACAGATCATCCAATCTTTGGCTATTCAAAGCCACTCCTTATGTGCAACTGCCAACAGGATTAGATGTCATGTGGCATATGGTGTATTTAAAAGTAAATGTAAGCAAGCTATATTACATATTGTTTGTCAAATAATACTACAATTATATGTTAACTATATATATATATATATATATATATATATATATATATATATATATATATATATATATATATATATATATATATATATATATATATATATATATATATATATATATATATATATATATATATATATATATGTATATATTATAAATTTACAGAAACTTGCTGGAAAAACCAACAAAAAGAATGAAGCAGGTTCAACTGCAATAGTGGTCTTTGGGAATTTGGGAAAAATGTAACATACCAACTGTGTCATCAATTCCAACTTTGACAAAGAGAGTTTTTAACCTTTATGAGCAGAACATAAAGCTGCAAAAAACTCCAACAAACAGGAAAAACAGAAAAAACAAATTTCAGCTCTACAAAGAAAAACTAGCAAAACTGTTTGATATATCTCCTTGCCAATGCAAAGATCTAAAGAAATGCTGCTGTGCCAAAGTTAATATGGTACCAGCTATGGAGCACCCTTTCCTGGAAGATCAAAAGAGTGAACGCAAAATGGCTATAGGTTCAATAGACAAAAAAATTACAGTAAAACTGCAGACAAAGCAAACAGAGCTCAAACCTTAATTATGCAGTGTCATTAGATTCTTTCATTTCTACCAAGCCTATTACTTCGAAACAGCCTGCTATCGTTGAAAACACCCAGGCATCAACACCATCATCTTCAAAGCAGATGCAATTATCTCTCCCTTCTCTTTCATTAGCCTGTGACCAGCAGGCAGATGCCTGCTGCCATGAAATATAGAAGACTCTTTCTTGATGATGAACCACATAAGGGCATAAACTTGCATAATGAACGTCGATAAAATTACCAAATTTGACGAGGGACTGCTGGTAGAAACATATATTCTGAGGA